TTCATTGCATAAAAAACTATTTACGAAAAGGAAGTAGAAAATATCACAACAAAATGTCTTATATCATCACCCTATCCCGTTACAGTAATTGGTATTGTATATGTTGTAAATATTTTCTGGGAAATAAGTCATAAAAGCGAGACGATACAGCAGTAAGCATGATCAAGTAATGTAACATAGAAATTAAAGATTTTCAGCCAAGAAGAGGTAAAATATTATACCTCTGACGGGGGTTGAGGTACAAACACTGTGGCCGTAATGACCCAGAAGCTGACGGCCAGCAAATTAAGCAAATCAAGTCACATCAAGTCCCTATCTGCCCCACCATCGTTTCTTTGTTTTGTTCTTCAACTTTATTCCTGTTTTCACTTTTTTTGTTCTGAATGTTCTCTCCCAATTATAAAGAACTTTTTTTAACTGACCTCTAGTTGATTATCGTAATGATCACTAAAAGAAGATTGCCAAGATTTATTATGTACAAAGTGACGGATTTACACTGACAAAAAACAATTTAAGTGAAGGATTTTTTAAGCGACTAACACAAACGAAAAATACATTACTATATATATTGTTTTAGTCATTCTGGTGATAAGCACTACTTAATTTTCTTTCTCAAACTACAATGTCACTTTAGTTGTTTGTATAACGTAAACACCATTCGCTGGATTATCACTGACACCATAATCATACAGTATTATGAGAGCTTTTGAATGTTAATTGTTGAATGTCTCGATTAATTACTATGTGTTACCCGCTTAAGGACCTTTAAATGTTGAAGCATTATAACAACACATTATTCTGTTTTTAGATTTTAGATTTATAACCTAGGTGGTGATATTTACCAAAATGCGGTATAAATATGATATATCCAGTGTGCAAACGGCAAGAAGTCACGCTTTTTTTTATCGGGCACCCCCCTACATCCTTGTGTAAGGTGAAGCACAGAAGCGTTTACAGTGCCTAACAGGGAAGCATGCTAAGTTCATGCTTGCCTTTATGACTCATGAGTTAAAGGTGTAGAAGCCTGAAGAGTCAAGGGCATAGAAGCAGTAGAAGCCTAAAAAGTCAGTGGTTTATGTCATCAAGTTATTGGAAGCTCCAACAAAACTTGTCCCTGAATACGAAGTCACAACTTTCGATTTACACCAGGTACCTACTGTACTGCTAGGTGAACAGAGACTAATGGGGGCTAGGAAGTAAGTCCAAACAACTTCCACCGCCCCGGGAATCGAACCTGTCGCTTGTGAGGCAAGAACGGTACCGCTTCTACCACCGGTCCCCCGAAGTCACGCTTGTGTACTGGTTTTGTCTTGTTCTCTTCCATATTCCTTTTCATCTATTTCTAATAGTTATTTTCCTCTTATTACCTCTTTCTATTAGTAATAAGAATAGTTATATTATTTTACATCGTCCTGTTACATAATGAAAAATAAATAAACTATGGTAGCTGTCACAAGCCTGGTACCTTGACGTTCTTGTTGACACACTACAACAGGTCCGGTCCCATTTATATTGAACGATAAGTTTTCTCTCATAACTAACATATAAATGCAGTTAGGTTATGAATGATGACGTATATTTTTAGTATACGAAATATTTTTAACTTGTGTGTGTGTGTGTGTGTGTGTGTGTAATAAATAATAATAATAATAATAATAATAATTAACGGTTTATTGAAAAAGTTCTGCAGCCCGAAGGCTGAAAATATATATTGGACATAAATTGGTGGTTTAACAAAAACTTTCATTAGAGAAAGGTAAAGGAACATACAGTGAACATACAGATTAATGTTTACAGTGGAGGTCACGTAGATCTTGTGCGCTGAGGTGTTGAACAGCAGACCTGTAGTAACGCCTTCACAGATGGTGTTATGAGGGGCATCACGTGGTGTATAATGTGCTTTTTCTCAGCTGTGTGTGTGTTTGTATGCTTACCAACCGTCTCCATTCTCCTGGAGAACATATGGGAAAAGGAGGAAATTCCCCAAGCTCTTAAAGACGCCTCCATCGTCAATATTTATAACAAGGGAGACGGGTTACACTGTGGCAACTACCGCGGGATCTCATTGCTGTCTGTAGCTGGCAAGATTATCGCCTAAGTCCTCCTAAACAGACTTCTTCCTGAGGCGGAAAACTTCCTCCCAGAATCTCAATGTAGTTTTAGACCATCACGTGGCACTACTGACATGATCTTTGCTGTCCCCCAGATACAGAAAAAGTGCAGAGAACAGCATCTTGACCTGTACATGGCCTTCATCGACCTAACCAAGGCCTTCGACTCGGTCAACAAGCCGTTTTGGCTGCCCATCAAAATTCATCGCCATTGTGAGGCAACTCCATGATGGCCATGTTACCCCGCTTGGACAACAGTAGAGTAACCAAAGCAGCTACTTTACAGTCACCTAGCGAATAGTAAACGTAACTCTGGCGGGCAACTGAAAAGGTATAACGATAGTCTTAAGACAAACCTGCAAATGTACGAAATCGACCCCCTCATCTGGGAGATGATTACTCCATACTGTAACACCCACACTGTTAAAAAATCTTGTAAAATTTACATAAAATTCTCTGGTTATATTGTTGCCAAACATTATCTGTATAATTTACAGAGATTCTATATATATTTTTACATAAAATATTTGTTGAATTTACAGATTGTTGGAAGTTATTGGAAGCTCCAACAACTTGTCCCCGAATACGAATTTGCAACTTTCGATTTACAACAGGTGCCAACATTACTGCTAGGTGAACAGGGACCAATGGGACTAGGAAGAGTGTCCAAACAACTTCCGCCGGCTTGGGAATCGAACCCGTGACATCTTGCTTTTGAGGCAAGAGCGGTACCACTCCACCAGCGGCCCCCCTCCCCCATGTGATGATGTGGCGCTCTTTGAAATAATGCAAACAAACACGGACATACGACGAACGTGAAGCACAAACACCCGCCAACCACATATTCAGTAATTACATATAGAAATAACAGCATTAACATGCAATTTTAAATGTTCTTTGCATCATGAAGTGTATATAGTATGATAAAATGTCAGTTTATATTGATAATTAAACAAATTGAAACAGAGAAAGAGAGTGTCTGAAATATTTTACAGAACAAAAAAGTAATTCAAATTACTAGGTTTTCCTGGTCGTAAATACAGAAGAAACATGTACAAAATACTGAATTTTCTAACAGTGCAGAGGAGCACCACACAAGAAGGTGTCAATACTTTTGAGCTGGCCCGACTGCATACCTAGGCAGACAAGCGCCAACGTCGGAAAGACGCTGCCACCACCCCTCCCGCACTAGATGTAGCCTTCCACATGTGCAACATCTGTGAACTGCACTGCCGGTCCTGTATCGGCCTCTTTTAGTCACCTCAAAACTCACCAACGTGTCTGTAGGTGACATCCTTAATAACTCACATCATTGTATCATAGCTGGATGATCGTCATTCTCCATTCCAAGTGACAGTAAAGTAGTAGTAGTAGTAGTAGTAGTAGTAGTGGTAGTAGTGGTATGTGTGTGTGTGTGTGTGTGTCGGTGTTCAGTCCCAAATTCGAGAGCACAATGTCAATCATCAGTGGTGAGTAAATACATTGGTAGATAAACATAGATAACTTTAGTACGATTATCAGAGTAGATGATATAATTAAAACAAAAAGAGAGAGATATTAGATTATGTTAATTTATGTCACAAAAATGATTCGTGTGAAATAATACACCATTTCAACTTTCAATCGTTTCAAAAGGCATAAATTTATCTATGGTCAGTTACGGGATTATGGGATTGTCTGTCATGGTTTTGTTTTTGTAATTATATATCTATTGGGATTTTACATTTTTTTTTTATGTTTACGGGGATTTCATGTAATTGGGTTTCATGGATTTCTTTTCAATAATTAAGTTTGCTATATTTTCTATTATTTTTTCTCACTATCGTTTCAACTTGAGGGGATTTCATATTGTATTTTCTTGACCTTTTTTTTGTTATCATGGCTGCTTCTTACCGTCTATTTGGTATCTAAGAAGAACCGATTAGATTTCATTTAATTTTCTGTTTCTGGTATTTGGTTTTATTTTGATATTTCGTGTTATGTCTATGAAATTTTTATGTGTCCAATGGGGCTTTGTCCTTTTTTTTTCGTTTTTGCTTTGGAATTTTCTTATATTGAAAGATGAATTTTAAGCTTGTTTAACAACCGCCAAATTATTCTACTGAGACTTTTACATCAGTTATTATATTTTTTATTGTTAATGTATTTTTATTTTATATTTAAGGATTTGTATTTTTTTTAATTTGACGTTTCTAAAAAAATTATAAATATTTGGGGATTTTATGCTTTTTGGTGTTTGTATGATGTCTTAATATTTTGCATTGTTATGGGATTTTGTTCTTTTGAAAATAATTACGTTTCTGTAGATTTCCAAGTTTGATGGATAATTTCAGGCAGTAGACGAAGAATACAAGCCTCTTATAAAGTATCCAAGAGGAAAGAGAAGAACGGGTGAAAACACAAACATCTTGACTATATTCACTAGCGTTTGGGAAAAAATAATATTCCATCATCGTAGGCCTACAAAACAGACAAAAAAAAAAATACAGGTAATATACAAGTACAACGAAACATTATTCTAAATTTCCGCAAAAGGTTTCAAACACAGCATACAATTCAGAAACGCTAAAAATGACGGGACACTTAACCTTATTCTGAGCTTAGTTTTGTATACAAGTCTATCGTCATTTTAGTGGCTGTAAATTGTATACTATATTACCCTGAAATGTTTGGTGCATAGGAGGTAAAGTTTTGAGTAATGATTCGTTTTTCTTGTATATTACCTGTAATTATCGGTGGTTCAAAATTGGTGAGACATTGTTATTGTTATGTGTGTGTGTGTGTGTGTGTGTGTGTGTGTGTGTGTGTGTGTGTGTGTGTGTGTCGGCGTTCAGTCCCAAATTCCAGAGCACAATGTCAATAATCAGTTTGTGTGTGGACTACGGTGTGGATGGACGGTAACCTCCCCCGAGGCGCTCGCTAAACCCAAGCTATAGTACTTCCCTGCTTTAGCTGTTACCAGAAGCTAGTATACACAAACGTAACTTGCATCTACCTCTCTCATAAAGCCACACTGGTGAGTAAATACATTGGTAGATAAACATAGATAACTTTAGTACGATTATCAGAGTAGATGATGATAATTAAAACAAAAAGAGAGAGATATTAGATTATGTTAATTTATGTAACAAAAATGATTCGTGTCAACTGATCTACCAGTTCAACTTTCATTCGTTTCAAAGGGTATAAATTTATCCATGGTCAGTTTTGGTATTTTAGGATTGTATTGGTTTGATTTTTTTTAATTATATATTTATTGGAATTTTACTTTATTTTCTAATTCCATGTTTTTGGGATGTTACCTATTTGAACATTTTCCCGCTACTGTTGTTTTAAGGGATTTTATTTTTTACATCTTTATTTTTGGTACAATTCCTGGATTTTGTTTTTTTATTTGTTATCTAAACAAAATCGATAGACTTCGTTTCATTTTGAGAATTTTCGTGTAAAATTCTGCAAAATTTAAATTTTTTTCTGAAATCCCTGAACATTCGAAATGTAGTTTTAATGAATTACGAAATAGAAAGTGGATTTTTTCTTCTTTTTACATCTGGATAAGAACGAGGCACCCTAGGTTATTTTTACTGAGGTGATTAAACACCCTAGTGGTACAAGATAGGGCAAGTTAGGGTGATTATCAGATGAAACAAGCCCCTTCAAGTCTTTCTAAGGTCGAGTATATTTATTATAGTATCATACATCACAAAAATAAAAATGCCCATCGTGACATTGTTATATTCAAACAGTTTTCAGCTCTAAAGAACACTTTATAGTATTCTCGTGTACAGAATAGCTACTGTATGTCTGTATGTTGACGAGTCGTATCAGGGAACATGAATATACTGCCATAATGATTTAATATATTTATAGGAGGTGTTTCATCTACCTGATACAATTAACGTCGTTCACATGTTTTTGTTTACACACAAAACAACTAATGAAACGCGAGAGAGAAAGGCAAAGTTGACACGTTAAAATAATGAGTTAATAATCTTGGGGTTGAAATACGTGGATGCAGCGAGTAAGGAACACAAACATAAGAATCATTGTTATCGTGACAGACAAATTTAAGTTATGAAAGAGATAAGATGATTATTAAGTAAACGGAGCCATTTAATAACATTTATATTAAGTATTGATTAATATAGTTAATTAGGTACATTACATAACACAAGTAAAACACAAATATGCAATTATCAAAACACGCCAGAATATTACCCGATTGTTCTTACTTTAAACATTAAATACACACAACAACACAAACCTGAAAGAAATGACAACTCAGGTAACAAGTCTAGGTTGAGATAGCCATCCACAAGGAAACAGGGATTACCGCCACACAAGACCACCAGCAGTAGTCCTCAACACAATCCTTCGTCCACACCCCGGGAGAAGACGAACACCGTAAGCCGCAGAGAAGAGACTGAGCTTACCAGGCACACACACTTGCATTGATACCTCGGTCTCATAGTCGGATGGGAAACTGGTTCTGAAACGGTGCTCACTGGGGTCGAGTAGGTTCGTGAAGCACTTGACCCAAGAACTCACGTTGTAAAAAAGAAAATGTTTAGCATTAAGAGAAATGTCACGAGCAAATGTTCCTTTCGTAAAATTGTTCCGAGTTATTCACACCACACTCAGGTTAGAGTTGCCGCCCCTTACTGAAAGTTTCCACCACGGGGAGGAACTTTACGAATCCAGGTAAAAAAGTCACAGGTATAAAAGTCACAGAAAAAAGTCACAGGAAAAAAGTCACAGGAAAAAAAGAAAAGTAAACTATCAAATTCTCACATTTTTTAAGGTTAATATGTCAACCTAACCTAACTTAACCTAACCAAACCTAACCTAACCTAGCCTTTATTACCGGCCACCATAAATTAATTATGACTTTTTTTCCTGTGACTTTTTTTCCTGTGACTTTATTACCGGCCACCAACTTTACATTGCTTTCAGGTATAAATCATCTCAAATTAACAATGTTTCTTGCAGAGGATCTATAATAACTTTAGAGGCAACACGTTGATCTTACAGCGGGTGGTAATTTACTCTTAGTTCACGAAAAAAACAAACTTACCCCCGTTTTTTCTTAGTTGTATGTATAATACTTAAGTGTACGTATGTTTGTGTGTATGTCAATCATTATACAACTTTACAATTATTATAAACAAATACACCAATAGATTAGGATAAATAAATAGTGTCTTTCTGTACAGTATATGAGAAACTTCACTTTGTTTCTCTTCATTTTAAATATATTATAAATTTATTTTGTAGTGTTTCAGTTTATCTCTAGTAAATTTTTGTATTATACATTATGTTATTTATCTGTGTTAAAATTTTATTTATTCCTCAGAGTTCGTTATTAATTTATTTCTAAACCTCAAACATTATAAAGATTTACTGAACTGTTCCTATCACTGATAATTTAACTTCACTGTTTCTCTGTTAAAATTCAATGTTTGTTCCTACCATTAATGTTCACCCACCATGACGATAATTGCCGTGTTCTGTCGTTATTATATTTCCATTTTTGTTCCTTCCATAGATGCTGTATGTGGGCGTGGTGGTGGGCGTGGTGATGGTGTTAGGAGGAACTATCGCCCTGGATGAGAAGCTTTACCAGAGATATAAGAACAATGCTGCCACTGGTTCTATCGCGGTGGTGAAGGAAGTATGTATTCTGAACTAATGCTTCATATGGTCTCGTTAAATAAATGTTTATATAAGTAAATAATATAAATTAGTAAATGTTTGCTAAATTGGTTTCTAAATTTAAAAATCTTCATATAAGAACATAAAGCATAAATGGAGGAAACTGCCTATTGGCCCATACTAGGCAGCACAGATGTTACTAAATGTTACATAATACTTCCTTGAGATAAATGTATAGTATATATCAGGTTCCTAAAAGAGAGCTCAGGTTCTCAACTGGCTCAGCCATGTTAATATTGTTATTATTATCCACTCTGTATCTGTGTTCTTCTGGTTAAATAAACTGTTTCAATTCAATCAAGCCCTTGGGGGTTAAAAATATAATAATACTTAAAAATAAATTAAAATAATAATAATACTAATAATAATAATAATAATAATAATAATAATAATAATAATAATAATAATAATAATAATAATAAAAATAATAATAATAATAATAAAGAGCCATAAATAAATACAAAATTTAAAGAAAATCAAGAGTTATAAATATATATGTTGTGTTGCCAATAGTAAGAGAAACAATTGAGACCTTGCAATTGTGTGTAAATGAGGCAGAAAGTCAGATCAGCAACCTGGGACCTGGTCACAATTTTCGTAATGCCATATGGCAGCAGGGTCTACCATTAGACAATACATTATACTTCCAATATCTTCCCAGGCTGCCTGAAACCTATATTTGAAGCTACCCAGCGTATTCGAGTTAATGATGATGTTTGGTAACTTGTTCCATTCATCCATTATTCTATTTCCAAACCAGTGTTTACCAATTTCGCGCCTAAATCTAAATTTGTCTAATTTAAAACCATTGCTACGAGTTCGCTCCTGGTTGGATAGTTTGAGTACCTTTGTTATATCACCTTTGTTTAGCCGACTTCCATTTATACACCTCGATCATATCGCCTCTCACTCTACGTCTCTCGAGGGAGTGCAAATTAAGATGCCTTAACCTGTGTCTGTACTCAAGGTTCCTAATGCCCGGGATTAGTCTTGTCATTCTCCTCTGGATTCTTTCTAGGGATTCCGTATCCATTCTGCAGTATGGTGACCAGAACTGAACCTCGGGATCCAAGTGAGGTCTCACAAGGGCAAGATATAGTTTTAGGATGACCTCGCTTGTCTTGTAACTAACATTCCTTTGTATGAACCCAAGTACTTCATTAGCCTTGTTTCGAGCAAATACACATTGTTTACTTGGCTTAAGATTCCTATTAATCATTACTCCTAAATCTTTCTCCCAGTCGAATTTCTCTATACCAACGATGTTCATCTAATATCTGGTTTCTCTGTTTACATCTCCTAGACTAAGTACTTTACATTTGTCCTCATTAAATTTCATCTGCCATTTTTCAGACTGCGAAAAATTGGTTTAGATCTTCCTGTAGTTTTGCAGAGTCCTCGTCAGATTAAATTACACGCCCTATTTTAGTGTCATCAGCAAATTTACTTATGTTGCTGTCTAAGCCGGTATCAATGTCATTTATGCATATAATAAATAGTAATGGTCCAAATACTGAGCCTTGGGGTACTCCACTAGTGACGTTACCCCAATCGGATTTAGTGCCGTTAATGCTCACTCGCTGTTTCCTGTTCTATAACCACTCACTAATCCATTTTAGAATATCTCCTCCAATGCCAAGAGCCTCCACTTTTCGCATTAGTGTTTCGTGGGGGACTCTGTCGAAGGCTTTGCTAAAGTCGAGATATACCACATCATAAAGTCCTTAAAATAATCCGAAATGTATATAATATTTTAATTCATAAGTGTTTAATTAAATTAGGAATACTAATTCTTAATGCTTATTGAAATTAGCTGTAAATTCAGTGTTTATTGTTAAAATATTCTAAATTTATCAACATTTACAGTTTAAAAGGAAGCTTATCTATATACATTATAATTAACCAACTCGTCACCCAGTTCTCTTCTCGCCTGCACTGCGGACTGGCCTCTATGCAGCTCTCCGGTGAGGGGTACAATCTGAAGACCACAGCTGAGGACAAGTATGAGTGTACAATCTTCAGTGTGGTGGACGGTGTACTCAGTGACACCGACAACAACTTCTACTGTGGTGGTGGTGGTAAGTGGTGGTAGTAAGTGGTGGTGGTGGTAAATGTGGTGGTGGTGGTGGTTTGTACGCAAGAGATAGATAAATAGATAGGTAGATAGATCACTTTGAAAACATATACATAGTCAGTGTAGGTGTACAATCAAAACACACTAATGTACAGTTGCCAGCAAAAGTCCTCCCACAACTTGCTACACAGAGCTGTGGGAGAACTTTTGTGGCAACTGTACATCAACAGTGCAGACATCCAGTATAAATAAGCAGTGAAGGTATACTTACAATACAATATAAATCGTTTCACAGTGTGTAAGGAAGTGGGTGAGTCCTGTACAGAAGACTGGGAGTGTTTCGTCCTTACGGAGGGCGCGACCTGTGTCCTGGGCACCTGCGACTGTGACCTCGGCTATGACCCCACTGATGGAGTCTGTGAAGTAGGTCAGTGGACGTATCCCTTAAACAAGTATCCTAAAAATAGTATCCTTTAAGCACGTATCATTAGTGAAACGTGTTGTTAGTTTTAAGGTCTAGGATAGGTGCCTGTTGTCTCTCTCGGTAATGTAACTCTCGAGGTTTCACATCAATGGCCACATTTGTTATGGTTTGTGAGATCAATAACCGGTTTCACAGTTGTTTGTGTATGCTATAAACGCTTAGTTTCACCAAAGAACGTTATACAGTGAACTCTCCATAATAACGGACTCATCTCCATATAATCCGTTAGATGAGGTATCACATCTAATGTACCTTCGATATAGCGGACTTATCTCTCCATATCGTCCGTTAAATAGAGGATTCATTGTATTTTAGTTAGTGTCATCTCTTCCTCGCCCAACAGTGCCAGCGGCCTTAGGGGAGGACTGCGAGGCGGATGTGCAGTGTCTGGCCACGTCAAATGAAACCAAATGTGACCCGACCAAGAAGTGTACTTGTGCTCAGTACTACAAGCCCAACGCTACAGGCAACGGTTGTACGCTTGGTGAGCATTTTCTATCCAGTTTATTGTATTATTCACTGATTTTATTCATTTTTATTATTCACTCTACTTACCCACCTTCCACACTTCCCAAAACTGAATAATCATCTTATTCATCCAACTCATTAATAATAATTACTCATCTTCCCCTAACTCATTAACCTTCGTCTAACTCATTAACCTTCGTCTAACCAGATTATGCTGCCTATGGATTCGTCGCCTACAATGGACGATGGGTCTATCACCTCCCTGGGCTTCGTCCAATCTCCTGGGAGAAGGCGTTCACGTTGTGTGATGACCTCTTCTCTACCATGTTTAAACCCAGAGATGCCAGTGAGTGGGGCTGGATGGAGCAGAAGACGGGGTCTGTCTTGAACACATTGGCCATGTTCCCCATCAATGACCGGGACCAAGAAGGAGTGCTGATGTGGAATAATGGAACGGGTGAGTGCTGGGCGGGAGAGGTTAGCTTTGTTTAAGAGAAATAAGATTATATTAGGAAAGAAGTTAACTCGGAAATCGGAGAGAGAGAAGGGGAGGTAGAAGGAAGTGGGCTGACCGCCTTGCTACTGGCTGGCTAAGCTAATAGTGTGTTAAAGCTATATCTTGGACTAGTTATTGTTTGTGATATTTCTTGAAGCTCATTTACCTGTTGGTTCTCCTCTTTTGACGGCACTGGCACTAGACAGCCTACCCTATCCCATTTAAGGGTGTTGTGAGGGTTTTATTTCAAATTCCGCCGACCCTACTGGCGGATGCTGGTCTAAGGAGATTGTCTATTGCCCGGCCGTATAGATCGGGAGTGATAATGGACTTCTTGAGGTTTGGTAACTTTTGGGGAACCATTTAGGGGAGGTGAGGGAGACAGAGAGGGTAGGTAAGAGGGAGAATAATAACTTACCTCTATTATTTCTTCTGTTTCTCGGTATCAGCAGTGGGAGGTGAGAACTATCTCAAGTGGTCTTCTGGCAGCCCCAAGGCATCGAATACTCCTATTGCGAACTGTGTAGGAATGGTGCCGAGTATTCTGTTTGTTTCTCCTGAGTATCTGAAGTTTATTGAGTGTTCCAAGGACAATCTCTTAACGTCTGTGTTCTGTGAGGCTGATGTCTGAAGGAGAAAAAGAGACAGACGCATTGGCAGACAGACAGACAGACAGACAGGTACAAAGAGATAGAGGCAGACGGAGGGACAGAACTGACAGTGAACAATGAGAGAGAGGTACAGAGAGAGAGAGAGAGAGAGAGAGACAGAGACAGAGAGAGAGAGACAGAGAGAGAAAGAGAGAGAGAGAGATGTTTGTAATCACTCACGCAAATGTCTGCATGGTGTTGTGCGTTGATCAGCTAACATGTAAACAATTTGCCTTCTACAATATGTCTCATAGATATGAAGACATAAGTCATAGCCATATTGAGTCATAGTTTTTCGGTAATGTCTCTTTATTATACACCGATAGATTATCTTAATAGATTGACAGTGTTCCGTTTTAATATCACGGGGTAATAAAGTGTGACACCAAATCAGTGTTGTGAACTTCAGACATTACTCTCTAAGCGATTTGAGCCATTACGTACAGCTTTCTTATGTGTGTTGTAGTGTTAAGACATAACCTTTAACAGTTGGAAGGTACTTTTAAGTGTGCTGTATTGTTAAGACATATTCTATAATAAATTTAAAGTGGTTTTAAGTGTGCTGTAGTGTTTAGAGATAGCCTAAGATGATTTTTTAGATATGTCTGTGGCTTATAGATATAAATCTAAGGTGGTGGTTCCAAATCTTTTTCACTCCATTCCCTCCTTGGGGAACCTCCAAAATCCTTGTGGACGCCTTTTCATTTTTCCCCCAAATCATTAAAAGTAAAGATGAAATATATAAGATTGTGATCAAGAAAAGAAAAGAACATATAATTGTCAACTCTACCGATATGGAGGTCAAAGGCATAACACTCTAATATACTATAGGAATAGCCGTGTGTGTGTGTGTGTGTGTGTATGTGTGTGTGTGTGTCTGTTTGTTCTGGGCAGCCGAAACGGCACAATCGTTTTTCATCAAACTTGGTGGAAAAATCGCAAAAAATTCGTAGAGTGGAACAAACCTGGTCCCATGTCGATGGTTTCTTTAGGAAGGCATTGATTAACAATTTTATTTACGCTGGAAAACGATGCAAGTCTACGGACTTGGCGCATCTCCATTCGCAGCACGCTATCAGCAGGACGGCGGTTGCGCGCTAGCGAAGCACGAGCGTTCAAGCTTTCACCAGGCACGAAGGGCCGGCAATCACTTGTCAATAACTATAACACTTTAACTGTACAACATAATTTACTAGCAGCTGCTATGCCACAAGGGCAGTTCTTTTTTCAGGATGCGGTGTGGTTTCCCAGTCAGGTTGGCTTTTTAGGCAGGTTATGTTTAGGGCTTCTTCTCTAACCCACTCCCGATGTGAGGAAAGCAGAGTGACTCCTGTAAGGGCTGCTCAGTTGTACAGACAGGACCGGATTGCACTGCTGCCTAGATCCCAGTGCATAAACGACTATCTTGTCTATGCCGCCCATGTGCAGAGTTGTGACTAGAGACTCCCGGCAGTCATCTCTGCCTGTCTCCATCGCCATGGGACTTTTGGGGGCATAGGGGTTCTTATGATGATGAGAAGTATGATGAACTGGATGATGATTGTGCAAGAGTTGATTTATGTGGTGAGGCAGAAGCTCAGGCTGCAACCACACATCTTGGCTCTCCCTTCTCCCTCTCCAGTGTTGCAGGTAGCTACAACAACTGGGGAGAGGGAGAGTTGTAATGGACTGCCGATAGCGCAGTTTGTTTGGTTTCGCCTTAGTAGCCTGTCCATTAGGCATTGCCTTTATCAGCTGGTGTAGTCGTTGGGTTCCCATGTTGGTCACCTCTTCTGCGGTCTTGGTGGAGCTGTGGTGTAAGCTCTTCTGTCTTATGCGGGGGTCCACCACATATTTCGTTCGGGGTTTACTCCTGTAGCCTTATACCTGCCAAGGATTAATCCGCAAGGGAGTGGTTGCTTGGCGCCAAGGCGTGTTCACGGCCTATGCACCGTCCCTCTGGAGTTCACCGCTGCTCCGAGGTCCCCTGCTGGTCAGCCTGGGGTCGCGAGGCACCCAGTTACCGTGAAGTGGATGTGTACCGGCAGAGGAAAACTTACACTACTAGGGCTAGCCAGCGGCGGTAGCTGAAAGCGAGAGAAAGCAAACAGTACTTTCTCCTTAACACTAACATAATGCTGCCATTGTGGAGGCATTACACCACCCTGCGCGCGCGCGCGCGCGCACACACACACACACACACACACACACTATATGAAATACTTTAAATTAAAATACATCCTCGGTAATAAAATAAAATATCATGTTTTCAATTAATAAAGAAGTAATGAGATAAAAACGAATATAATAGTTCTGTTTATATAACAAAAAAAATAAAATGTAACAATAAAGATAAGAAGTTTAAATATGAAGAAGAAGTGTGAAGAAAACGAGAGTAAATATGAATTACGAAATTAACTAAAGAGTCTATGTACGGGAGATAATGACAAAAGAAAGATGATTAAATAAAATATAATAAATAAGAAGTTCAGAGAGAGAATTTGAGAAAGAGAAAGAATGAAAGAGAGAGAGAGAGAGAGAGAGAGAGAGAGAGAGAGAGAGAGAGAGAGTTCAACACATTCCTATACCTCCAGCCACGAGGAATATTCTACCACCTGAAACTTTGAGACAATAAACCAAAAATATTAATACAGTAGCCTAGATGTCTTAATCATCCCCACAGATTATACATAAGAGTTATATTAACAGCTGGATGTCTCATTACCCATTAAACCATAAGAGAAATATTAACTTTGAAGGTTTATAAATGAAACCTGAAGAGCCTGGGTGTCCTTAATTAATTCTTGTCATACAGTCATACAGGTGTTCAAAATTTAAACAGGTGTTATAGTCTAATACATTTTATTACTGGAGTATAATGAAGAAATACACTTATGTTATACAATACGGACAGGTCTGACAATTAAGTTCGGAAACTCGCCACTTGGCTCAACAGAACTGCAACAAGTGTGTTTGGATTGCGAGTGACCTTGACCCCTTCAGACGTGTGCAGTGGCATCAAATTTATCATGGAACTGGAGAAAATTAGGTCTGAAATTCGGGACATGTTAACCCAAGTTTATGGAGGATAATGAGCTAAAGAAATCATCAGTTTACACGTGGATTAAGTGATTTTCTGAGGGAAGAGAAGACGTGACAGACGATAACAGAGAAGGACAACGAGCCGGAATGAGGGAAACATGGAACAAATTAGGAAAGTTGTGCAAGCTAATGGGCGATTGGTGGTGAGAAACATTACAGATGAGGTGCAGATTGACAGGGAAACAGTTAGAAAGGTTTTGACTGAAATTTAAAGATGAGAAAGGTTTGTTAAGAAATGGTGCCGAAAAATCTCAGTAACGAACAAAATCTTTAAGAGTTGAAATTTGCTCAGAACTTTTGGAAAGAGAAGAAGCTGGAGATGATCTGCTTCACTGAGTCATTACTGGTGATAGAGTCATGGGTCTATTAATACAATCCTGAAGAGAAGCTGGAGATGATCTGCTTCACTGAGTCATTACTGGTGATAGAGTCATGGGTCTATTCATACAATCCTGAAGAGAAGCTGGAGATGATCTGCTTCACTGAGTCATTACTGGTGATAGTCATGGGTCTATTCATACAATCCTGAAGAGAAGCTGGAGATGATCTGCTTCACTGAGTCATTACTGGTGATAGTCATGGGTCTATTCATACAATCCTGAAGAGAAGCTGGAGATGATCTGCTTCACTGAGTCATTACTGGTGATAGTCATGGGTCTATTCATACAATCCTGAAGAGAAGCTGGAGATGATCTGCTTCACTGAGTCATTACTGGTGATAGAGTCATGGGTCTATTAATACAATCCTGAAGAGAAGCTGGAGATGATCTGCTTCACTGAGTCATTACTGGTGATAGAGTCATGGGTCTATTCATACAATCCTGAAGAGAAGCTGGAGATGATCTGCTTCACTGAGTCACACTGGTGATAGTCATGGGTCTATTCATACAATCCTGAAGAAGAGATGATCTGCTCACTGAGCCACATTGGCATAGTCAGCGGGTCTATTCATATAATCCTGAAGAGGCTTCTGGAGATGATCTGCTTCACTGAGTCATTACTGGTGATAGAGTCATGGGTCTATTAATACAATCCTGAAGAGAAGCTGGAGATGATCTGCTTCACTGAGTCATTACTGGTGATAGAGTCATGGGTCTATTCATACAATCCTGAAGAGAAGCTGGAGATGATCTGCTTCACTGAGTCATTACTGGTGATAGTCATGGGTCTATTCATACAATCCTGAAGAGAAGCTGGAGATGATCTGCTTCACTGAGTCATTACTGGTGATAGTCATGGGTCTATTCATACAATCCTGAAGAGAAGCTGGAGATGATCTGCTTCACTGAGTCATTACTGGTGATAGAGTCATGGGTCTATTAATACAATCCTGAAGAGAAGCTGGAGATGATCTGCTTCACTGAGTCATTACTGGTGATAGAGTCATGGGTCTATTCATACAATCCTGAAGAGAAGCTGGAGATGATCTGCTTCACTGAGTCATTACTGGTGATAGAGTCATGGGTCTATTCATACAATCCTGAAGAGAAGCTGGAGATGATCTGCTTCACTGAGTCATTACTGGTGATAGAGTCATGGGTCTATTAATACAATCCTGAAACGAAAAGCCAGAGCGCTCGGTGGAAAACTGCAAATTCGCTGCACCCAAAAAAGTGTCGCATGTCAAAGTCGAAAGCGAAGACAATGCTTATCACTTTTTTGTTCGATTCTAAGGGTGTAGTTCACAAAAAAATTGTTCCCCCCAGGGCAGAGTGTGAAGCAGTTTTATTATCTCGTTGTGCTTAAAAGATTCAAAGAAAAGGCTAGACGAAAAAGTTCAGATTTTTTTTTTTGGAAACAAGCGGATCTTTCATCATGACAATGCCCCAGTGCACACGGCATTGATTGTGCGGGAGTTTGAGCAGTGAAACAAATTACCTTACTTAAACACCCTCCTTATTCATCTGACCCCGTGTGACTTTTTTCTATTTCCTTCGCTGAAGAAGCACATCAGGGGGACGCATTTTCAAGACGTGGATGACAGTAGCACGACGGCTGTTATAAAAGCTATTCCAGAAAGTGAGTTCCAGAAATGTTTCCAGAGGTGGAAGAACCGCTGGCGACGCGTATAGCATCGCAAGGGGAATATTTTGAAGGAGACCACATCATCGATCCTCAGTAAGGTACGTACCGACGCCTGCAACATGAGTTCGCGAGCTTAATTATCAGATTATGTATGTGATTTATACGATATGTACAGTTGCCTCCACATGAATGTACCACAGCCTGGGAGTGTGTGAGGGGTCGGGTATGAGATGTGGCAGAGCCGTGCCTTAGTCAGGGCTGAATGGGCACAAAATAGTGACATTACTCGTTTTGTGTGGCCACAGTTCAATGCTGAAGAACATTTATCACACATACTTTATTTATGTTATTATATTACTGCAGATATTTATGAAATGCATAATTTACTATTATCATTGTATTATGATAAGCTCTAAGTGTTCGTCTGTGTTGGTTGATAATGAGTGGTCAGGCATCCAGTGTTTCCATAATATGTCTGATAGTCTATTCTTGCTGAAAGTGTTTGTGATAATTGAAATATATAAACAACAAAGCTGACAGCATATCAATAACTGAGCTGCAGTACAACACTACACTGCGCCCCTACACACTCACCCGCGACCGATATAAATCACCCGATATTAATGACGCGTACAGTACCACTCACCCGCGACCGATATAAATCACCCGATATTAATGACGCGTACAGTACCACTCACCCGCGACCGATATAAATCACCCGACATTAATGACGCGTACAGTACCACTCACCCGCGACCGATATAAATCACCCGATATTAATGACGCGTACAGTACCACTCACCCGCGACCGATATAAATCACCCGATATTAATGACGCGTACAGTACCACTCACCCGCGACCGATATAAATCACCCGATATTAATGACGCGTACAGTACATCTCACTATGAACTGAAGGTAATGTGTTGAACATAACAACCAAGGTACTGCAATATATCTAATATAATACCAAATAATAAAATCTTAATTCGATGGCTTGTGTGAGCTGGACGTAATTACGGTGGTAAGTGAACATCTTTTACCCTTCGTTCAGCTGTAGACTATTTTACACCAAGCTTCTACTTCTATACAATCTTTCATTTCATACCAACTATGCGTAAGATGTCAGTAGCATTATAGGTCCAGGAACACGAAATTATAATATATGACCCGTTTGGTGGTGACCTGTATGTCCAGGGCTGCGTTCAGGCTTAATGATGACAATATTACTTGTTCACTGGGACTCTCATGGCTTGTTAAATGCAAAATACAAAACCTCGATCCATGGGGCAGTGTAGGGGAGGATTTTGATAATTCATGATAATTTCATATACATTTATCGATACAGACTACTGGATATATATTTCCAAACTGTAAATCAATATTTTTCTATGTTCATCAAAATGTGTTCCTATTCCACTGTGACTGCTGTGTACTGTATCATACCGCTGCCAAGATGATAATGTAGTGTTGTACTGCATGAACCAATATCAAGAACAATGGAGGGATCCTACACAGGTCACTGGCCTCCTTACCTCGTCATGCGGTAAATGAGTAAATTAATATGCTGTCAGGTGTTTGTTTATAAATACTGTATAATTTTCACAAACAAATATATTATAACAACACTTGTTTAACCACTACTGTAGTTGGTAACAGACGCGGTAGAGCACTTACCTTTATTGAAATATCCTTCACAATCTTCCGATACATTTCATCGACATCTGTGATAAGATCCACACAATAAAGTAGGAAAACAGATAAACGAGCCCTGTGTGTTGTATAGCCACGACTGAGTGACTAGGACTGAACTATGGGGAACAGACAAACAGGGTAATCCACGGTTTCACGCCCAGGACTACAGCGCTGCGTTGCCACATCTAGCACCTGTACCCTCACACATTCCCAATCTGTGGTACGTTCATGTGAAGGCAACTGTACACATGCAAGTTATACAATACGTATATATGTAAGTTATCTAAAGGATGTGATACTTTTTTTTTACGGGAATTAACCCACCCGGGCACAGGTCAAGCGACCCACAACGGGGCCTGGGGGACGAAAAAATAAGAACAGAAGAAATTTAAAATAGAGAAGAAAAAGGTTATATTGTGTTAATCTACACCACGAAGATTTTTTTTACCCTCACAGATAAAACTTAATGGAAATTAGTTCATATATTGTAAATCTTATATTGCTTCCTTTAAGATGCATTGTAATATAATATCTTAACCAAGCTATATCTAAATTAAGTTAAGTTGGGTTAGGGTAAGTCAAGTTAGGTTAGGTTAGATCAGGTTAGGTTAGCAAATGTCAGGTTACAAGTAAAACTATTCATTTATAATTTGTGTTAGAATTTCTATGTATACACACACACACACACACACACACACACACACACCACTTACAGCTATTTTGTAAGGCCAGGTAATATAAATGACATATAACGAATACTCAGCAGTATATAACAATCTTGAGGCGATTTTTCTCTGTGGATTACATTCGTCAAGTAATGGATTCCCACCAATGGGATTTTTCTCTTGCAGCTTCGAATCTGGATTAACAAAAACGTTGTTCAATAATTGTATTCCTTTACCTGATTGAGCTAGAGTCTCGGCGAAGTACCAGTACCATTTTAAATACATTATTTAGGTACTGTAGCTTAAATGAGACAGCTGAATTAGTTCTTACCTGTTGTGTGAGCAGGGTTAGAACAGTGAGCAGCGTCAGGACTTATCAGCTAGCTCACACACTCCTCCTGACACTAATAAAATAGGAGTCTATTCTGGAGGGAACTGTAAACAATAGTAACAATACTGCGCAGTGTGACGGATAGACGGCGCAGTGACCAATAGACGGCGCAGTGTGACCAATAGACGGCGCAGTGTGACCAATAGACGGCGCAGGATAACAGCCACCAGGACCTACACCAACACTTGTACCGGTACTTGTTCTCTACCATAATTATGAACCACCTCAGCAGCCACGAGAAAGCCATTCCTACTAGCAAGATCCTCAGCCGTATTTCCTGAGAAGTTCTTACAATCCTTATCAACACCCTGTAGGAGGAGCCACTTGAGGGTGTCTGGATGGTTACCTGCAGCAGCGAAGTGTAAGGGCGTCTCCCCTCCATTGTTGACAGGCGATACAACACAGTTATTAACTTTTAGTAAAGTCATCACGGCTACCTGACCTCCCAGTGCTGCAAAGTGCATGGCAGTGTTACCTGTTGATTGAAGAGAATGTGTTATCTCTCTCTCTCTCTCTCTCTCTCTCTCTCTCTCTCTCTCTCTCTCCAGTTAACAGATGACAAGCAACAGTTAACAGTAAACAGTCACTACTCACCCTTGTTATCCTCGGCCTCCCGTTGAGCGCCTGCTAAGAGTAAATTCTTGATCACGTCCAGGTGACCCTTGAGCGCTGCCTCGTGTATGGGGCGCCGACCTGCAGTGACCAATGAGTCATGAGTCACGCCACACACTGAGTCTTTAGTCATTCCACACACTGAGTCTTTAGTCACTCCACATAATGAGTCACGAATCACTCCACACATTAATTCATAAAATTCACCAGTGACTCATAAATTTCATGACTCACTGACTCGCATATCACATGACATACAAATTAGAATAGATGGTGTAACTTTTATGAGTCATTGGTGTGATTTAAGAGTCACTAATATGATTTAAGTAATACGATTCATTGAGCAAAATCACATGACTCACTGACTCACGAAAAAACACTCATTTAACGCGGGAGAAAAAAGATAACTCTATCAAAAGAAACAAGAGAACAAATTAAAGTTATCTCATCATTAAAAAAGAGCAAATTAAAGATAGCTCACCATTAAAAGAGCAAATTAAAGATAGCTCACCATGTCTGTTATTCCGATGATCTTTGCAGTCGACCTCAACACCTTGTCTGATCAACCTCTCCACCTGCCTCACCTTCCCGCTACCTGCCGCCTCCAATAACTGGCCAGGTGAGAAGATGTACCACGTGTTATGTAGGAAATGAGGCTAGGTATCTATCTATCTATCTGTCTACTATAAATATATCTATCTATCTATCTAATATACATAAGAAAGCCAGACAGACAGACAGACAGAGACAGACAGACAGATAGACAGAAGGAAAACAAAACAGACAGACAGACTACCAACTCAACTTACCTTTAACTGTTGTGTCTTAGCTAAACTCCAAAGGTGACGAGCGATCTCCTTGTAGTGTTCCTGTCTGGCCAGATCCTCAGCAGTGCGACCCCTTCTGTCTCTGAGGTTAAGATTAATGCAACCGGGATGAATTAACCACTTAACCGCCTCCAAATTGCCGTTGTCTGCCGCTAGGTGAAGTACTGTCTGTTGGTTATCGCCTGTAAGGGTTGCCAAGTTGTAGTTCTTCGCCTTGAGAAATGAGAGAACTGGAATGTGTCCGCCGATAGCTGCCCAGTGAACCAATTGGTAGCCTGGTGGATGATGTTTTGGTTAGGTTAGGTTAGTCGCTCTCTCTCTCTCTCTCTCCCTCTCTCTCTTATTTTAAGCATTGTTTAGATAGCGTATAATTTAGGTTAAGTTAGAGTTAGCATTTTGGTGAAATAAGCTCAGGTGCCTCAAACCTTCAGGTAAATATGAAAACATTTGAATGACTTACCATTAACTTCTGTAATTAAAGGAGGCATCTTACTGATTAACACCTGAACGACCTCTAGGTGGCCGGCCTGTACTGCCAGGTGAATGGGCATCAAACCTGCAGGCGAAAACGAAGAATTACTGTCACCTATTCTGCATTTATTAGTTCTCACTGTGATAAGGTATTACCCCCACCAAGTTATAAGCGCCGAGGTATAGCAACACGTGTTAATTTATAAGTGCACTGAGAAGTTTGTGAAAGAGAGAGAGAGAGAGAGAGAGAGAGAGAGAGAGAGAGAGAGAGTAGTAAACAAGGAGAAAGGAAATAAAAGAGAAAGAGAGATAAATAAAGTGAGATAGAGAGATAAAGAGAGAAATATAATAGAGTGAGAGATAGAAATAAAATGAGAGTGAGGGAGGGAGGGAAATAAAGTGAAGAAAAAGAGAAATAGAGAAAAGAAGATATAAACAAAGAGATGCAAAAGAGAGAGAGAGAGAGAGAGAGAGAGAGAGAGAGAGAGAGAGAGACAAAATCAATAGATATGAATAAAGAAAATTATACCCTGTTTGTTCCTGGAGTCAAGGTGCGCCCCTGACTCTAACAATATCTCAACCATTTCCTGGTGTCCATCTTCGGCAGCTATGTGCAGTGAACGCCACCCTGGAACAGATACATACATACAGTGAATCATCTATATAATGGACTTTTATATCTATGTAATCCCTTTAAATAGAGGTTTTATATCTAACAGACTACTTAATATGTGGTGGTTGCAGGTCGTAGTTCTTCTATTAGGCTATTCTCACCATGACCTGACCTGACCTGACCCTGCCTCTGCCTTTAAGATGAGTGAGTGTATATTAATCTGGTTATTATGTTATGTATATTTAGTAGATTTTTTGCGTTACTGATTTGTTATGAGTGAATAAAATAAATGATTGATGATGAACAATGACTAAAATTAAAAATATAATACGAAATGAATAATACAAAATCTACAGATAAATTGCTACTATTTTCAACCTTTTTCAGCCTATAGGGAAAGAGTTAAGACTTAACCCCCAAGAACAATCAGCCTATCTCAGTCTTATTGTGCCCAGACCAAACGTGGATAAATGCTCCAATGCTCCTCTGAATATAATCATCAATTACTGTAGATCTTTTAGATAATTTTAGAAAGTATTTTTTTTCTTTAGAATTAGAGTGATTGTTTTTTTCGGATTTTTTTTTATAATTTGAAATCTTCCAGTGTAATAACTCCACATGTTGATCCTATGATACGTGTCCCAAGAATAAGACCACTAACTGGACTACCCAAGGTCTACCATTATTACATATGACCTGACACTCATGACTCATCCACGAAACTAACATGCATGAAAGTTGACCCAAGCTGACCTCACTTTGGATTAAAACTAACACAACGTTGACCTCAGACTACCTCTCTACCTGTCTCCCATGATGATTCTTAAACAGCAAAATAGAATAATGTTTTT